ATGAGATAAATAAAGGTTGAGAGGTATTCTTGTAATCTCAGTGTGCTTGGTTAAGAGCAATTCTACTTGTGTATTCCGCTTGTCTTTAACATGGGAAAGTGGGGAAACCTCTCGGGTGAGGGAAACACTTAGTTAATAGGCAAACACGAGTGGATAAATGAGGGAAGGCTGAGTCTAGCGAGGGACTAGGCTGCCGCACGGGTTTATTCGCGTAGCGAAAAATTACCCCGTGACAAAAGCATATGCCTGTATATCTACTGATTGAGACAAAAGTAAGAGGGCCTATCTAATATATATGGATGCATCTATTCAAGAGGTTACGAATTGCATATTCATTCTAGTTAAATTTCTAATGTCTTTTTTTTTTAAAAAGACATTCATTTAATTCCATTCGAAAACTTATTCAATCTAAAGAAAAAGTTAAAAATAAAATGCAAGTTAAAACTTCAATATACAAGGCTTATATTGTGAAAGAAATCTTAACATTTATCTCATAATATTTTAAGTCTCACTTAGGAACAAGAATAAACAACATTCCAAGATATAATGACAGTGGAGAATTTCCTTCAAATGGGAGCTTTGTTAATATTTTCTCGTTTTGAATGACTTGAATCAAAAAATACAATGAGGAGAAGACGCTTAAGAAATCAATACAATACTAGAAGTGACAATATTTTTCCATATTGGACAACATAGAATTTTACAGAGGCAATGACTTTTTTGAGAAATTCATGAATTTTAGATTCTGCACTCTCTTTTCATATTTGTTTAAAGAAATAATGGTTTAATATTTATTAAAAAAAAATGATGGAAATTTTATCACACAACAATCTTGCTCTTGCTCGATCTATACCTGCAACTTTCTCAAATTTGAAGCAGATTGGAGTGTTTGGATCTTTCTTACAACAACTTGAATGATGTCATGTGTCGGTAATTTACTGAAATTACCACAATGACAGTTTTTAGTGTGGCGCACAATAACTTGTCAGGTAAGACTCTCGAGAAAAAGTATCACAGTTATGAAGGAAATCCTTTCTTGTGTGGATCTCCATTGCAAAACAATTGTAATATAGAAGAATCACCATGGCAGCCAAAGGATAATGATGAACAAGAAGATGATAATTTCATAGACGTGGAGTTTTTCTACATCAATTTTGGTATATGTTACATAGTTGTGGTGGTGATGATTGCAGCAATTCTTTACATCAATTCATATTGGCGACGCAGGTGGTTTTACTTCATTGAAAACTGCATGTATTCTTGCAATTATTTTGTGGTGGCTAGCTTTCAAAAGTTCTCCAACTTCAGAAGGTGAATTTGTTACTGGAGAGATGGTTGTTCCTAGTTTGTGATGATTGTTTGTACTGTATGTCTATCTACTGTCTCTAAGCTCAGCCTTTTTATTTAATTAGTTATTTGGGCTAAAAATATAAACTGGACTTCTCATTCCTGATCCATGGAAGGGAACTGATTTGCATGATTAATCTTTCAACTCTCAAGACTTGTCTAAAAATAAAATGAAAAGTGACCTGCGTCTGCATTCAACTTTTATTCTCGCAACTTTGTTAATTTGTAATTGATTTTTTTTTTCGAGGAGAGAGGACTTGATTAAGTTGTATAAAGGGAATGATAATACTGTAAATTGCCAAAATCACTACTAAGTACAAACAAAATATTCTATGCAAGTGTGACAACACTCACCCGTATCTACCAGAGGCTGGGGAGATGGGTTTCTGAAACTCTTCTGTGATTAGAGGGGTAAACTGCGGAGAGGACTCCAGTTTCAGGAAAATCATGATCTCTGCCAAGTTCCTCGGGTCTGGATAGACGTTTCCTCCGATGCATCTACCTGTTTTGTTTTTACATTTTTTTTTAAAATTTTACAGCACCATTTGCTACGGAACATATATAGTGCTTGCATGATTTCTAATTAGACTGCCTCTTGCATGGAAAATATACCATTCTGAGCCTCAGAAAACAGAAAACTGCTGCTCTTCCCTCCTCTTCTCTGCTCCTTTGTCTCTGTTTTGCTGTTGTTGAATCTTCCAACCTGCTATCTTGCCCATGTTTTACAATTTACACTTTCTAATTTATAAAGCCAGGAGTAAATCACATACATCAGATATTTTTTTCTTGCCCCATGTTCATTTTGAGGAACACCCCGTTCAACAAGCTTGAAGAAAAACAATAACAAAGAATAGAATAATGAAAATAATTGTAGGGCCTAAGATCAAATCAAATGCTTAAACTGAATCACAATTTATTTTAATCATGTCAAATTTTCATGTTGAAAAATAATTTTTAATATTAAAAATAAGTAGAGTTTTTTTTTTGACATTAAATATGCCAATTAACCTTTTAAATAATTTTTTTAATCAAATAGATTCAATATTACAGGATTAAGTTTAGTTAATCAAGTAATTTAACATAAAGATAAATTTAACATGAAACTTTCTTCTTCTTCTTTTTGCAAGCCATTGATATTGTCTTTTGTTTTTATTTTATTGGCCCATAGGCGTGTTTTTTTAGATTAATATGGATTTTCAGACTGATTTGTGCGCATCACGACTAATTCTACAGATTTTGAAGTTAACGACCATATAAATCTCTAGTGACCATTATATAAACAACCAAAAACTCGAATCTAAAACCAGAAAGAAAACAAATGCATGGTGTTTATTATAACCCATGGTTGCCTGGGCATTTCTTCAATCATGGAACATATCCGAGTATAAAATTAACGGATCATGTTATCGGGTTTCTTAATAATGTTTACCCTTTCTCATTTCCTTATTATTAACTGTTGGCACTGTCCATCTAAAGGTATCATGAGTAAATTGAAAACCAGGAACGGAATACTAATATTTATGGATCAATGAAGCGAAAGTGTTTTCGGTTGTTTATTTATCTGGTTTTTTATGTTTTTTTTGGAGGAACTGTTGCTGATATTGGAAAGTTTTTGGAAAAAAAAAGAATTTACATTATATTTATTTTTCATTACTAATTCTATCAATTTATTGCCTCTTAAACCACCAAGTGATAGTATACAATTAGATCTATAAATAAATGACATAACCAGTCCAGGGAAAGTTATCAGCTCCAAGCCCTCGTCTGTACAATTTTACAATTAAGCAAGAAAAAAAGGGTCCAAACCTGTGAAGTAGAAGATCATTGTTTATTGGATTAGTACTTTGAAATCCTAAACTCGTTTTGTTATTAGAACAAAAGGGTAAACCCACCCTTTGACTTTGCAACGTAGAAGCAGAGTATCCAACTTTGAGCCATGAAGACAGTCTGAGGCGAATTAAGTGATATAATTCGCTACAAAAAATCAAATTGGAATTTGCTCAAAGTTCTTATCAAGTTCAACAGTAATCTGACAGATGGAAGCGTAATACTAATTGAAAACAGAAACATTACAAGCATGAAATCTCAAATGACAAGGGTTTTTGTAACGAGTTGAAGACAAAAAAAAAGAGGCTAAAATTGTCTACTGAAGCTCAAAACTAATGATTTTATTTGTTCTTGTTTTTTAAGCCATTGATAGTGTTTTGGCATACTCTGTCTTTATACGTCATCTCTGCCCTAAGTTTCTCCATTCTAACAAGTCCATGTTTTAATCAATGCATTTTCTTCCTTCTTCCTTCTTTTTTATATATATGGAAACTGTCTGACATGCATGTAGATATCTTATTGGTTGGGTTTTACAATTTACACTTTCTAATTAATTAATTTATAAAACCAGGCATAAATCTCACACTCACACACACATATATAAGATATTTTTTTCTTGCACCAAATTCATTTTGATGGGATAGAGATTGATGCAGTGGAATCTTGACTTCACAGGTCTACGAAGAAGAAACACACAAGTGCAAGTGGATGATGAGATTTAAGAGACTTGTCAGAAAATCAATTGTTCGAACAAATGACTTCCCGAGTCTACGAAGAAAAAAAGCAACGTAGCTTACACTACAAGCTGGAGGAACACCCCGTTCCACAATCTTGAAGAAAAACATTAACACTAAACTTAATCATTGATATTGTCTTTTGTTTTCAATTTTGTTGGCCCACACGGTGTCTATGATGGTCATCTCTGCCCTAACTTTCTTCATTCAAACACATCAATAATATTTTAATCAGTGTATATTTTTCTTCTTTCGTAGTTATATAAATATATTTATAAAAAAGAAAATGAATTTGTTTTGAATGGAAAAATATATATCATTCAGAATAAGAATATTCAAACAATAATTAATATGAAAGTAAATCAGCCTAACAGATATTTCTTTCTGAAATTGATGATGTTGATAATATATTGGGAATCTTGACCGACTTCACAAGTCTACGGAGAAAAAGAAGTGCAAGTGGACGGTGAAGCTACCGGGAAATCACTTCATTCCATGAAAAACGTTGAGGAAGAAATTTTTGTTTTCCACAAGATCAAATCAATTGTTCAGAACACATGACTTTCCATGTCTATATATGAAGAAAAACCAGAGTAGTGTACACAACAAGTTGGAGGAATTGACTAGTGGCAGACAGTGATTGTGGAGCCTTAGACTTGATGCACCTATTGGATCCTCATAAATAAGAAAAAAGACAACCACTCACATTGACCTGGTGCATCTAGCGGAACCTAATATGTCAAAAAATAAAATACATGAATTTTCTTAATCACATATTCACATATGGCTTTTTTTAGTATTGTTGTTTTTTTCCAAGTTTAATCACAAATCCACGGATCAGTGGGTATATTTAGTATTGTAGTTTGAACACAAATCCACGGAGTAGTTTTTATTTTTTATTTTTACTATGTGTCAAAGTCAATTGACTGTATGAAGAGAGCCAAAGTGTGAAAAAATAGGATATTCACGGTCCCAAATACACATAACACTGCTACTGTGCTCATTAACATTAACTATTTATTGAAAAGTTGATCTAAATTGAACAGAATTTATATGTCAAACGTAGTATAAATAGGACCTCTATGGTTGCCCGAATGCACATATGACATAACAAACAGCAATATTCTACGTAGTACTTCATAGAATTGTCCAAGATGATGATGAAAAAAATGGGGGCTTGGATGTTGCTAGCATTATTGACTTCGGTTGGCGACTGGTGTGGTCGTTGTTATGGGTGCTTGGAGGATGAGAGAATTGGTCTCTTAGAGATCAAAGCTTTGACCAATCCAAACAGCATTTACATGGGAGATTGGGTGGAGTACAGTAGTAATTGTTGTGAGTGGTCTCGGATCGAGTGTGATAACACTACAAGGCGAGTGGTCCACCTCTCTCTTTGGGGTGCAAGGGATCAGAGTTTGGGGGATTGGGTTCTCAACGCATCCTTGTTTCTGCCTTTTAAAGAACTGCAAAGTCTTGATTTGGGTTATAATGGACTGGTTGGTTGCTCTGAGAATCAAGGTCGGTTCAATGCTTCTGTTCTTGTAATCGTAAAGTAAATTCATATCATTGTGTGAATCTTATACTGAGATTACTCTGATGAAGTGGCTCGCTGGTGTTTAATGTCAATTATCTTGCTTTGACGTGTTTCTCTTCCAGGCTTCGAAGTCCTATCATCAAAACTGAGGAAACTGGAAGTACTTGACCTAAGTCTGAACCGATTTAATAATGATAAAGGCATTTTATCATGCCTCAATGGGCTTTCCGCTCTCAAGTCTTTGGACCTGTCAGACAATCAGCTGACAGGATCAGGTAGCTTCTATGGTGACCGTTTAATTATTTAGCTCTGAAACATTTTCTTTTCTCCTTCTCATATGATTTAGCTTCTATGCGTTTATTTCCTTCCAGTATGCTTAATTTTGAGAGACATCATGCAGGTCTCATAGTCTTTGTATCTGTCAGGCAATCAGCTGACAGGATCATCTACTGGTATCAATAGTAAGTTGCATTCTCTTAAGAAAATTGAGGACTTTATATCTACTTAGTAATTAATGATAGCATTAATTTCATCATGTTTGACTGAGCTTTCATCTCTAAAGATTTATATAAATTGTTTTTCTAATAAGACCGGAAGAGATCAAAATTAGGATGATTAAAGGTATATATTGTTACAGCTGTTATTATGATCACTGTTAGTGCAGATTAATTAGGGTAGCTGGCAGATGCATGGACACGTGTTAGAAGTTGTTAAGAGACGGTTAGAGTTAGTTAACAATATAATAAATCGTGTAATGCATGTGGGGAAGTTGTAAATGGATTACGCACGCAAGAAATAACAGAGATTTATCATCTCAGTTACAATAAATTGAACGACAGCGTTTTATCATCTCTCAGTGGATTTTCAACTCTCAAATCTCTAGATCTATCAGGCAATAGGTTCACAGGATCAACTGGTCTCGATGGTAAAGTTGTAAATCATTCCTACCTCGGATGGCATTCCCTAGTGAGGTTTAATAATTACACGTGTATTAACCCCTAAGTAATTGTTTGGATGAAGCCTTAAAAAGGGTTTATATAATTAATTCTTTAACGAGTGAAATAATTTGAAACTTACATCTACACGCTATTAACTTTTGTTCAATTTTTTAATTTTTTTTAAAAATAAATGAAGGTGAATATTTAATTAATAAAATTTTAATATCATATTAAAAAATTATTTTAATTTAAAAACTTATGCTATGTCTTGTATATTTACTCTAATATTATAAATTATTGAATTATTGTAAATAATCATTATTGATTGTTAATTCTCTCTATCACAGGTTTAAGGAAATTAGAAATCTTGGATCTGTCTTCAAATGACTTCAAGGAAAGCATTTTGATAGAGTCATTGGGAGCGTTGCCATCCCTCAAGACCTTATCTGCTGTTGGTAGTACATTTAAACACTTTGGGAAAGGTCAGTGACAGTTTTGGTGCCTAAAACAATATGATATTTATAATATATTGATGGATTTATCTGAGTCTTAAATTAAGGGTAGCTGGCAGATGCATGGAGTCAGTTAGAGTTAGTCAACAATAGAATAAACCATCCCTCCTCTTAACAGAATGTGGGGAAGTATATATATATAATGATTTATAAATGGATTACGCACGCAAGAAATAACAGAATCATCCTCCTCTTAACAACCATCCCTCAAGACCCTTTCTCTCATGGATACTGCTTAATCAGTGTTTAGTTTCTTATAATCTTAATTACTAATATTGAATGGAATAGTTACTATTTTCATCATACCTTTTCTTCTTTCTTTTTCACAGGAACTTTCTTCAATTCGAGCACCCTTGAAGAATTGTATCTAGATTTTACTTCTCTCCCATTAAACTTTCTCCAGAACATCGGAGCATTGCCCACTCTTAAAGTATTGTCTGCTGATTACTGTGACCTCAATGGCACCCTGCCCGCTCAAGGTAAATTAACAACTCTCCATCCGCTCAAGATTCTTTCAACACTATATATTTTGACTATTTCCAGATAAATTGTATAGGTTGGTGTCAATTGAAGGCTTACTCCTAACTTTACGCTACATTTAGCAAAGGATAAAATCTAGGGTTTCTCAATCTCTAAAATTTCTCCTTCCTAGAAAACTTTTAATTAAAAAAATTATGGATATCAATAATCTAAATGACCAATCTCTAATATATATATATATATATAAAACAAACAAAGCTGCTTAAATATAATCTAAAACCGACCTAGCTAATGAAACAAAAATCAACTAAAACTTTAAAACCGTACTTAGCAATTACATAATTGATATATTCCTATTACCTTAACAATGAACACATGGATATATTCTACAGGCTGGTGTGAACTGAAGAATCTTGAAGAGGTAGATCTCTCCGGAAACAATCTAAAGGGCGTACTCCCTCCTTGTTTGGGAAATCTATCATCTCTACGATCCTTGGATGCATCTGACAACCAATTGGAGGGAAATATTGCGCGTAGTCACCTTTCCCATCTTACGCAGCTCAGATCCCTCTCACTTACCAATAACTACTTTCAAGTTCCAATATCATTTGGTTCATTTATGAACCTCTCCAACCTCAAGTTATTTGCATGCGATAACAATGAGCTAGTAGCTGCACCCAGTTCTCAGCCTTTAGTTCCAAAGTTCCAGCTTCTTTTCTTTAGTGCTTCAAACTGTACTCCAAAACCACTCGAGGCTGGATTTCCAAACTTCCTGCGTAGCCAACATGATTTGGTGTTTGTTGATCTATCCCACAACAAATTCGTTGGACAACCTTTCCCATCTTGGCTGCTTGAGAATAATACAAAGTTAGATCGACTATATTTGAGAGACACCTCATTTATAGGCGGTCCTTTGCAGCTGCCACAACATCCAACACCCAACCTTCAGACAGTAGATATGTCTGGCAACAACATACATGGTCAAGTTGCAAGGAACATATGTTCGATTTTTCCACGTTTGAAGAACTTCATGATGGCTAACAACAACCTTACAGGTTGTATTCCTCCTTGTTTTGGGAATATGAGCTCTCTCAAATACTTGGATCTTTCCAAAAATCACATGTCTTGTGAACTGCTTGAGCATAATTTGCCAACAGTAGGCTCCTCGTTGTGGTTTTTGAAGCTGTCCAACAACAACTTCACTGGGCGATTACCACTCTCTGTGTTCAACATGACTAACCTAGAGTACCTCTTTCTCGATGGAAACAAATTTGCAGGACAAGTATCTGGTTCCTTTTCTCTTGCATCATCATTTTCGTGGTTTGATATCAGTAACAATCTTTTGTCAGGCATGCTTCCAAGGGGAATTGGGAACTCGTCACTAAACCGCTTTGCTCGGGCAGTTGATATGTCCAGAAATCAGTTTGAAGGTACCATTCCAATAGAATATTTCAATTCTTATGGGCTTGAATTTTTAGATCTTTCTGAAAACAATCTGTCTGGGTCTTTTCCGTTGGGCTTCCATGCATCAGATTTACGCTATGTCCACCTTTACAGAAATCAATTGAGCGGTCCACTGCCATATGCTTTTCGTAATCTCTCTTCGTTGGTTATATTTGATCTCGGCTATAACAACTTAACTGGGCCCATTCCAAATTGGATTGATAGCCTTTCGGAATTGAGCATTTTTGTTCTCAAATCTAATCAATTCAATGGGAAACTTCCTCATCAGTTATGCTTGTTAAGGAAATTAAGCATAGTGGATCTTTCAGAAAATAAATTTTCTGGTCTGTTACCCTCATGTTTGAGCAATTTAAATTTTACGGCATCAGACCAAAAAACTTCGGTTGAACCTGGTACGACGTCACAAGATTATAGAAACCTGGAAGAAATATTTGCATCCATAGGTTATTATATTCATGACAAAATTGTGTTGCCAGAGATCGATGTAAAAATAACTGTGGAGCTTACAGCAAAGAAAAATTTCTACACTTACGAAGGCGGTATCCTTCGTTACATGTCTGCTGTGGATCTTTCTTGTAACAGATTCACTGGAGAAATCCCGACAGAATGGGGAAACTTAAGTGGGATATTTGCTCTAAATCTGTCACAAAATAATCTCACTGGATTGATCCCTTCATCCTTTTCCAATCTGAAGCAAATAGAGAGCTTGGATCTTTCTCACAACAACTTGAATGGGAGAATTCCTGCACAACTCGTTGAACTGAAGTCTCTAGCAGTTTTCAACGTGTCGTACAATAATTTGTCAGGAAGAACACCGGAGATGAAATATCAATTTGGTACCTTTGATGAGAGCAGTTATAAAGGGAATCTGTTAGGTTGGTTGCCATTAATGTGCAACAACCATTTGCTATTGCACCAACCATGTGCACTCATCCATGTCAAAGGTTGGCAGCCACCATTGTTGAAGAAAAGTTGGAGTTGGCAGCCACATTTATTGAAGAAAAGCCTCAGATGTCAAAGGTTGGCAGCCACCATTATTGAAGAAAAGTTGGAGTTGGCAGCCACATTTATTGAAGAAAAGCCTCCATGAATGCCTATAAATAGAGGCATATGCAAGAGAGCAAAATAAGTGAAGAGAATTATGAAAATGTGAAGAGAGTAGAGAGGAAGAGAGAGCTGCAATGGCAGCAGCCTTGCTGCCATTGCAGCAGCTGCAAGTGCAGCAAAGAGAGTTGAGAGTTGAATATGAAAGGGTGTAATCCTCCTCCTCCATGTATTTGTTTTGTATCTTTCTCTATCTCTAAATATATTGACTTCTCCCGTGGATGTAGGCGATTTTGCCGAACCACGTTAAATATTGTGTCAGTGTGCTTGGCTCTTCTATGAGCAAGTATCAGAACATCACCGGTAGGAATTCCCAACAGAATCCTCTTCTTTGTGGACCTCCATTGCAAAAAAGTTGCGACAAAACAGAATCACCATCAGCGAGAGTGCCTAACGATTTCAATGGAGATGTTGGCTTCATAGACATGTACAGTTTCTATGCCAGCTTTGGTGTGTGTTACATAATTGCGGTGTTGACAATTGCAGCAGTACTGTGCATAAATCCGCATTGGCGACGCAGGTGGTTTTACTTCATTGAAGAATGCATCGACACTTGCTACTGCTTTTTGGCTATAAACTTTCGCAAGTTGTCCAGATTCAGAGGGTGATTGGGTCTTATCATGATCGAGTGGGCTGCTTTCTGAATTTGTTGCAATCCTCTGTGGGGAAGCAGTCGCATTCCAAATCAATGGTTGCTCACAACATGTATAGCAATTTGCCTGTGAGAAGTGTTCTGTCGAAGTGTCTGGTTCTTGTTGCTTAGCCTTTCTGTTTTGACATGACTTGTGTTTGTCATTGTGCTTGTATCCATATTTGTTTGTTTCGTTGTTATGCCTTAATTATGTTGCGTTTTGGTCTTAGATAAGCAATCAACCAATACTTCTTGGCTTCTTGTGATTTCTATATCCCTAATAATATGGAATTTATTCACCATTGTAATAGTTTACAGTATCGTATTTTCTCAATTAAAAAAATAATTGATAGAACCAAAGGATCATACCAGCAAGGTGGAATGTGGTAAAGCAATAATTTTGTTTGCTGAAAGAACACAAGTCTAAACTTAAAACAGGGCAACGGCATAATCTGTCTTCCTTGCAATAATGTGCTTGATTGCTCGTATTTAGACCTCCTCTCCTGTCCTGTTTGCCTCATCCATGTAAAAAGCAAATAAACAAATATAAAGTTCCATACTTTTAATTGAATTGAATTGCCAGTAAGTTCTTTGTCCATTTGAACAGAGGATTTAACTTTCATGTATAACCTTTTTCAGAATATAGTTAGCTTAATTTGTCATAATGAAAATGATTTTAACTTGAAGCTTCGGTAGCTAAACTCTAAGCAGTTCCGGCTTGCTTAATTACTCTCTCCAGAGGTATCTTCTTCTAGTAGAACTCCAGCCTTCTGACCTCCAAGATGGACTCAATTAGGAAGAATTTGTGTTAGCCCTGCACATATTTTGTATGTTAACTATCTTACAGTATGTTAGCTTTGTATAGTTGCAGTGGATATTATAGTATCTTACAGTATGTTAGCTTTGATGAGTTGCAGTTGACAGGATTTACTGGTATCAATAGTAAGTTGCATTCTCTTTATCAAGAAAATTGAGAACTTTATATCTATTTAACAATCAATATAATGAGAGCACTTCCTCATGTTTGACTGAGCTTTCATCCCTGAAGATTTATATCTATGGAGCTTTCAACTTATCCATAAATTGTTTTTTTAAGAAGACAGGAAGAGATTAAAGTGAGCTGGACCAGAATTAGGATGATTAAAAATTACGAGTGACGATGTATAGAACGGATACTTGCAATCTATCTTCTTCCTTAATCTATGCACTGTATATTTTTTTGATGTAAAATTTGAGAATTATATATATATGTTGTAGGTTTTCAACTCCAACCGATGAGGCTGGGAAAGTTAGAGAACCTTAACCTGAGTGCCAATCAATTGAACAGTAGCATCTTATCAATTCTGAGTGGGCTTTCATCCCTCAAGTCTTTGGATCTATCATTAAATAAGTTGACAGGACCAGGTAATGATACACAGTTCCTACCTAGAAACCGTGTAAGAATATAATGGTAGGAGGATTACGTAAGAGTCTCTCAATTCTCTGTTTTCCTTCTTCTCCTCCCCTGCTTCTCACCCTTCTGCTTCACTTTGTTAAGCCAAGGTTAACAGATGATTATGCTACAATACACAGAATGGATACTTCCAATCTATCCTTCTTGACAAAAACGCAATCTTAAGGAATAAAAACCATCCCTCAAGACCCTTTCTCTCAAGGATACTACTTTAAGTCAACGTCAATGAGTGTTTAGTTTCTTAAAATCTTAATTAATAATATTGAAAGGAATGGCTACTCTGTACCACCACTATTTTCATCGTACCTTTTCTTCTTTCTCTTTCACAAGGACTTTCTTCAATTCCAGCACTCTTGAAGAATTGCATCTAGATCGTACTTCTCTCCCACTAAACTTTCTCCAGAACATTGGAACATTGCCTACTCTTAAAGTATTGTCTGGTGGCCAATGTGTCAAGGTAAATTAGCAACTCTCCATCCACTCAAGATTCTTTCAACACTATGTGTTTTGACTATTTCGAGATTGTACAGGTTAGTGTGAATTGAAGAATTTGAAGCAGTCAGATCTCCCTGGAAATAATTTTGGAGGTTCACTCCCAGATTGTTTGGGAAACTTGTCATCTTTACAACTATTAGATGTTTGTAGTAACCAATTTACTGGAAATATTGCCTCCGGTCCTCTTACCAAACTCATATCCATTGAATCCCTCTCACTATCAAATAACCTCTTTGAAGTTCCCATTTCAATGAAGCCTTTTATGAACCACTCAAGCCTCAAGTTCTTCTCCAGTGAGAACAACAGGCTAGTAACAAAACCCGTGTCCTTTCATGATCTGATTCCAAAGTTCCAACTAGTCTTTTTCCGCTTTTATACATATAGTACAACATTAGAAGCAGTCAATGTAGAAATTCCCAACTTCCTTTATCACCAATACGACTTAAGAGGCCTTGATCTCTCATACAACAACATCACTGGAATGTTTCCATCGTGGTCACTTAAGAACAATACACGATTGGAGCAATTACTTTTGAGCGAGAACTCTGTTGTTGGTACTTTGCAGTTGCAAGAATACCCAAATCCGAATATGAAAGTCATAGACATATCCAACAACCACATGAATGGTCAAATTCCAAACAATATTTGTTTGATCATTCCAAATCTGTGGAGCTTAATGATGGCCGAGAATGGATTCACAGGTTGTATTCCTTCTTGTTTAGGAATATCAGCTCTTTGGGGATTTTAGATTTATCCAACAATCAATTGTCCACAGTAAAACTAGAACTGCTAACAACAATGACGTTTCTCCAGCTGTCAAACAACAATTTGGGTGGGCAAATACCAACCTCGGTGTTCAATTCTTCTGGTCTGTATTTTATCTATCTAGGTGGTAACAACTTTTGGGGTCAGATACCAGATTTTCCACCACCCTCTTGGAAAATATGGTATGAATTGGGATTGAGTTCAGTTTTCAGACATGCTTTCATGGTGGTTTTTCGATTTGAAGGATAGCTTCACAATTGATTTGTCCAAAAACCATTTTAATGGTCCAATCCCAGTAGACTTTTGTAAGCTTGGCCAGCTTGAATATTTCGACCTTTCTGAGAACAACTTGTCTAGTTCTGTACCATCTTGCTCCAATCCGCCACAAATAACCGATGTGCATCTATTCAATAATAGATTGAGTGATCCATTAACAAATGGATTTTATAACAGCTCTTACCTTATTACGATGGATCTTCGAGATAATAATTTCATCGGCTGTTATAAAATCAATTAATTACCCTATAATATCACTGTTTATTCACTTTAATTCTCATACCCAAATCAACTCCAAATTTTTGTATTTTTTTTTAATTAAACTCTTGATTGCTTTAATTAATTAAATCAAAGTTTAATTAAGCCCTCAAACTTTCAATTCTTTCAATTTTAACCAAATTGACTTCCAAAATTATAATTCGATTATTATTAGTACCCAAATTAACTTTCAATTTTTGTTGTTTTAACCCCATCTTCAATTCATTCATTTTTTTATTTTTTATTTTTAAAAATCAATAATTAGGTTATGGCACATGTTATTGTTTGTTTTAAATTTTATAATATTATATTTGTTTGTAAATTGATGAAGCTTATATTAAATATGTGACTTCAGCGTTTTATGATGAAATAAATGATGGCTTATTTAATGGGATCATTTTATATTTTGCTAATTTTATTTTAAAGATAATTTTTTATAAATGTGTAGAAATTTAAATTTATGTAGATATATATTTGATAATGAATTAAGAGAACTGTTAAAATTGATTAAATAAAATTGAGCTAAATCAATATTTTTGCAAATTTATTTAGTTAACATAATTAATTAATAAAAGTTATTATCATTATAAATTTAAATAGATTTGATATAAATAATGGATGGATCGAGATGAATCATAGGGGTTAAAGATGATGGATTATTATAATGAGGTTCAAGATTTTATGAATTATGCATTATCAAACCCAAGAAATATTAGTAGAGGGGGTATTAAATGTTCATGCAAGAGGTGTAAAAATAAAAAAAAAAATCGATTTAGATGTTGTAATGATTCATGTTTTACAAAAAGAGTTCATAAAAAAATATTTGTATTGATATGCACATGGGAAACCATAGGTCTCACAACATATTGTGATAGAGAAGATGATTGAGTCAACTTTTAGTGTTAGCAACAAGTATGGAGTTGTAGATAACAATAATAATCCTTAATGATTGAGTCAACTTTTAGTGCTAGCAACAAGTATGGAGTTGTAGATATCAATAGTAATCCTTGTAATGATATGATTATGAATGTGATGAGAATGAATCAATGCTATGTCGGTTAATATTCAATAATAAATGAAGAACCTAATACAGATGCAACTAAGTTTTTTTTATTTTTTAAAAGATTTTAGCTAACTATTATGGGATGGTTACACAAATCCATGAGCCCGTCGATAAAAAACTTACTGATGAAATGTGAGTGTAAATATCAACAAGAATTTTTGTCAGTAAAACTATAAAATATGGTAGTGAACACTTGTACATCTAACTCCACCTTCAAAAAATTCATGCATAAATTATAATATATGTCAAACAATAATTAATCAATATTTATTTAAATTAACATATAAACTAAATTAAATCTGACAATTTGTTCATACACCATGAGCATAGAATCTTTTGCCCAAAGATAATGGTAATTAGACCATTAGTCTTGGGGTTGGTTACAACTTAGCCCTTATAGTTACTCCTAAAATATTTTATATTAGCTTTGCCTTACTTCCTGTACATAACGTTAAGTATTCTCTAACTCATTTAACAAATGCAAGTGGGGAAAGAAAGCTTCACCACCTAAACCCTCCGGTGGCTCAGATGTTAAAAAATCCCATTAATTATCTATTTTGTAGGTCACATATCCCTACCCATTACCAACCATCCACTAATCACTGCTACAATTCATCATAAATTAGCGATATGAATGTCCGTATGGAGTCGCCGACGGAATCTCCTTGTATTACCAATTGAGTGTAAGGGTCAATTCATCGGAGTAGCTCATGATAAAATATCAGAAATTATCTCAATTTAAAAAACAAAACAAAGTTATTAGATAAGATTTTAAGAATTATTAAATAGACTATTACTATTGAATTTCATAATTAATTAAGTTTGGGTTGCATTCAAAAGATTTAGATTTTTTTAGCTATCGGCGACAGGGCCGACGGATGTTATCCATCGATAACAACTTCAGTGAGCGTGCAAGCTTCTATGAAATGTCGAGAGATTATACTTGTCTGTACAATCGTCACCGTATGTCATATATTCTCCTTTTCTTCAACTCATTAATCAAATGGGAAAAGGAAAAGAAAAATCACCACCTAAACACTCTGGCGGCTCCGATATTAGAAAAATCTATTACGTACCCTGTAGCTCTTGTGCTTAGCTATGGCTTTATTCTTAGTGACATGAATGTCCACATGAAGCCACCAGCGTAACCTCTTTTATAGCACCGACTGAATGCAGGGGAAAATATAGCAACGGTGATTGATTATTATAAAAGCTCCTGGGCCAAAAACCGCGCATACTTCATAGAAGAATTTTTCGGGGATTTTTGGAAAGGTGTTACAACGGTTACTGCAGCTATCGTCCTCGGCCTCTCTTTGGTACAAACAACTTGTGCGGTCCTTGGCCTGCGCTAGTACTCCAAGTAGATCAAGTCAATCCACAGCCTGTGTAGTTTTATTTCTCCTGTTTGTTGGCTTTTGTTGTGTTGTGCTGTGGATTTTATGTTTCCTGTGCAGTCAATAAACACACACACACACGTTGGCTTGGCAGCATGGCTGCCAGCATTTGTGTCCTGTTACGGTAGGCATCTTCTCTTTGATGCCTTCTAAAAAATTCTTATCACACGAATGAGTCGGCATTTTTTTTTTAAATGAGGGATAAATTATTAATAAATATTTGATATTATATGCTATATAAATTTGTGTTATATTAAAAAATTAATTTAAAATATATTTACCAACTCAAATCAAGTAAAATTAATTTAAAAATACTTTTAAAATAAAAAAAACTTATATTATAATTATTCTCTTCAAGATTTTATATTTTAAAGCTGCTTTATAATGATTTTATTTTTAATCTCAGTAAAAATATCTTTCTTAATATATACAACAAACTTTCATTTATCTATTTCTAAATTTTTCAAGGAAAAGTTCTTGACAACAATTCTATGTTGATATATAATATATAACATCTAAAATCATAGCTTAAAAGAATTATCACAAATTGATATTGTTCTTGCTGATTTGTTGTTTTGTACAAATGAATTAAATATAAATATTAAATTTTTTTTTTTTAATTTATCTATTATGCAAGTAATTTTTTTAGTTGTCATGTAATTTATTTTTAATCACTAGTAAATTCATCACCATCATTTTTCATATAAAATTCATAACAAAATGCTTATTAATTCATTAAAACTCATTTCAATTCATATCCATTAACATGTATAATTACTCATTCACATATTAATTCAACAAACCCATACATTATTATAAACCCCAACATTTTCAATAACTACTTATAAAGAAATAAAACTAAAATTAGATAATGAAACATATAGAAAAGATGAAGAAAACTTCCCTAAAACATAAAACATAAAAAGTTATTTGCTTAACTAATTAATAGCTTAGGGCTCGAAGAAAAATTTTATAGAAAAGAAATAAGCAAAATTTTATAAAAAAGAAATAGGCAGGGACAATAGTGAAAAAAGAAAAAGAGCTTGGATCAATTAATAGCTAACAAAAAAAATTAACCATGCAAAGCTATTACATTAATATTTTAATATAAAAAAAATACTTTGAAAAAAGAAGATTAAGGGGGCAATTGCCCCCTGTTGCCCCATTGTGGCTCTGCCACTGATAACATGTAACTATTCTTTATATTTTATTTTGGATTTCTCATAATGTGCATTTAATATATTATAGAGCATAATATTTTTTTATTTAAAAATATATTAATTTAATATTTTTTTCTAGTAAAATAAATAAATTACCATATTTCTAAATATTCACGTAACTTATCTCTAAGTACCCGAGGGGGATAAGAATAGGAATCAACAAAAAGACACAAGAATGACTTGTTAATATAATATTTCCTTCCTTGGTTTTCAAGCTATGCAAATGTCACTTTCTTGGGCTGAAAGGTTACCAAACCAAGCTATGGACACATAGTATAGGAAATAATATAGAACCAATAGGAAGAGGAGCATGTCAAGATATTCTTCGCCAAGCATACTTTTCATCTTCAAAATAATCAGATATGATAAACTCCAACCTCAATTCAGATAAAAAGCACGCTCCATAATCCTTCATTACACTGAAACAATCACGTTATTCACAAAGAGCAAATAATGCATTCAACAAAAAGCATACTAGAATGTTTGATATAGGTATTTTTTAAAAATACCTCCCTTAGATTTCCTCAATATGTCAGGTCATATTTTTGGCTGCAAATCTTGTATCCCTAGCGATCCCTCCTCTTTTTAATTCCTATTTACTATTGCTTTAGATCAAAGGTGTAAACTGACCCCAACAAAGGATAGAAAAGCTTCAACTCTGCTTGTTAGTTTTCGAAACTCAGTCATTTTACACTTCTTAAAACAACCAGTCACATTGCAAAAATAGGAATTAACAATTTAGAAAGGGTAGATAACATATCATGCTTTTAGAGATCTGTCAGATTCAAAACCAACCAGTACGATATTAAAGCTATTGCAAATGCAATGAACATTTCAAAATATCCTCAAATTCAACAACCATGATCCAAAATGACATGAACATGGTAAAGCATCCTTTTACAGTAATGACTGACTTATTATGTTTTAATCAAAGGGTGTAAGAGTTGTGTCAAAAGTAAATTAATGATCAAACAGCAGGAAAATATAGAAAAAAGAAGGTTCTAACCAGGGATATCAGAAACGCCTGCAATACGCTAGGTGGTTCTCTACTGACATGGTGATTATTCAGTACATATTCCAGAAATTGTTCCACCATGACTTTGACATTTTCCTGAAGGGATAGTGAAACATGTCAACATAACAACATCATAGAAGAAATACTGCTGCATAATCTTGAGATCGATTATGAAAATAATGATGCTTCCTGATACATGACCCCGCAACTTCCAGCAAATTCATAAGTCCAGATTAAACATGTTAATTAAGTAAAAGAACCCATCAAACCAGTAAGCATATCATTTCCCTCACTTTTAATAGAGTGAAGACAGAATTTGGTTAATCGAGTCCGGCAATGTAAACAAACTAAGACCAGAGAGAGTTTTCTTCTATTTTTTAAGTTTTCCTTTTTTTCCTTTTATATTGTTACTCTCTGACCCATGAGATTTGCCTCTCACAACCCAGAGAAACACTAGAGGAGATGGAAAAAATAGCAGATCATCACTGTCAGAATGCTAAGAAACATAAAATATCAAACAAATTTTCCTATTTCAACGGATGACAAGGGAGAGGATTTGTGATGCCATTGAGAGAACAAGAAATTAACAAATACTAATAAAATTCAAACCTGACATTTGATGGTGATGATAATCCCTTTCAAATAGGAATTGAGTGAAATTGAAATTCAATAGTGCCCAATAATGCAATGCTCTCTAGGCCACAAAAGTCATAGTATCTTTATCTCATTAAGATCTAAAACAGTTATTTCAACCCAATGCCAACAGTAAGGATCATTGCAAGGTTGATGGCTTCAAGGCACAAAATGTAGGGTATTTACCAGATTTTTTCTTCTTTATTTCTATGCTTAAAATCAATTCTGAAACCAATTCAAAGTACTAAGAATAGCAGTAGATAGGCAGACCCAATACACCACATCAAAGAACCTACTGCAGCATTCATGAACTAGTGCTAGAGAAATTAACTTCTTCAGAGGGATGAGATGCATACTGGGAGTTGCAAAATTTCACAAAGTTCTGCTATCTCAGGCTTCAAAAAAAGATGGAGACTCTTCTCAGAATCATCATGCAAGTTCCTTCCTCCATTATACCCAACCATGTCAGCTTTCAGTACTTGTGAAAATTTACTGGTCAAATGTGAGAAGTTGGTACGTGATTCGCATCAGTTGTGTTAAGAAGGCTAATTGAACTTGGCATGACTTGAGACATCTTCTGCACTGGAGCTCCAGAAGTTCCTGCAGAAAAAGAGACATTTTATGAAGATTAATTAAAAAAATCAAGGAAATCCCACAATGTTTGCCACCTAATACTCTGAGAAGAGTACCATCTGTGCATACAGGATAAGGAACAAAACCAGAACAAATAATCAACAGTGAAACTAGCAGTTACCTATTAAAGCAGTTTTCAGAGAAGGCGCATCAGTGTTACTGTTGGACACTTTATTGCGCTTCTTCAACCTTTGCCTTTTGGAACATGAATCCACAGAATCAGTTCTGCTGCACTCATATGGAGCTGCATCGCCATCTTCATTTGAAACCATTTCCGTAGCATCAAAATTCAAGTCATCAATACTCCTTTTTTGTTTAGAAGGCATCACTTTGCAACCACTCTTCACCTCAGTATCAACCCCAGGTGTCCTATTTACTATCAGATCTTCGCTACCTTCCAGTTTAGCTTTCTTTTGTTTCTGTTTGAACAGCTCCCTGTAAGCACGAGCATCCATTCTCTTAATTCCAACCAGGACAGTTTTGATAACAGGTTTGTCACTGTTTCCAACTTCTTCAGTTTCAAGTTCTTTCACCCTCTTCTCTTTCTTGTGCTTTTCCTCCATAATTAAAGAGCCCGAGCTTTTACCACACTTCGTTGAACCAGAAGAACTAGATGACAACTGATTCTTACCCTTCTCAGGCTTCTAGAAGAAGTCGGTAAACTTTGTTTCTCAACCAATCTCTCAGATTTCCTCGTAACAGGAGGAATTGTAGGGGGGTCTGCTTCTCAATACGTTCAGACTTTCTACTACTTGAAGGGCTTGGAGTCAAGTTTTTCTTCAATGATGTTTCTCTAGCTGACTTTCTTAGACCACAAGTATCATTAGCAGCACCCAAACTGCTTGATGATCTGTTACCAATGTTTCTCCCTTTTATATCATTAATTTCCTCATCCTTACCCTTACAACTAGCCTTGGTATCATTTCCCATCCTGCAAGCTGTAAACCACAAACAACAACAACAACATACAATCAAGGCTGCATGTTCATTTCAATCACTGCAATGCCATTCATAATCACTGAAACGCAAGAACCTAACGAAGAAATCAACAGAAACTACACCAAAATTACGCTAAACAAAACCCTAAGTCACTGAAAAAATTATTTTTTTCTTTTTCAATGTTAGATTAAAAACCCTATCAGAAGGAGAGGGGAGGAAGGGGTGGATGAGATTGGAGTTCTAACTTACCGGAGAGAGAATCGTTGGGAGGTCACCGGGTTTAGTCTTCCGACGGCATTTGACAGCCGGAGTCTTTAATTGCCGAGTAGAAATGCGTAAGGAGTTGATAAAACTTTACCAGTGAACAGGCCCGCGGGGGAGGGTTTAATGATCAATGTCACGCTTTGTACCTGCCCAGTTGGGAGGTTACTTAGATGTTAATCATTAGTCCTTCTACTTTACTTGTATTCAATTTAGTCCAACACTAGAAGGATTGGATTCAGACTTGGTAGCAATCATTTTTTTTTAAACCCCACATGACTTAATGAGTTAACCTCTAAACTAATCCGGATTTTAATTTTAATAAACCCAGTAAAAACCTTTAACTTTTTTTAAAATAAATAATAATATTATTTTTATTTTTATAAAAAAAAAATAAATTAATTAATCAGGGTTAATTCTAGTTAACACTTCTATGACCATAAACTTGTTTCGAGACAGCCCCAAACCTTTGATTTGGGGGGGCAACCCAGCAAATAAACATTGGTAGAAATTAGCTTATCAACTCCCGAAATGATAATATAAAAATCCATATTTAAAATTTTATTTAGAAACTTGATAATCATAGATTGAATTCATGATATCATATGTGAAAAGCTTAAACTAAAAAACAAAAAATGAATTTTTTTAATAATTTTTTCTTAATCATTGAAGTTTTATTATTGGCGACTGTCAATCACAAATAGAGAGATAATTCGTCATAATTAAGGGAATAATATGTATGCTTGTTTTTTAAGTAATTTTTATAATTGTGGTTTAAAAAAATAAATTTTAAAAAAATATAGTTAGATATAGTTAGTTAGATTTAGATACGTATTTGATAAAAATTATAATTGAGATTTATGCACAACAAAAAATATATATAAAATATTTAGTTGTTGTTATTTTTTAAAAAAAAATTTATTTGGAAATGCATCAAAATAATTTTTTTATTTTTTTAAAATTATTTTTGATATTAGCGCATTAAAATAATTTTAAAATACAAAAAAAATAATTTAAAGTAAAGAAAAAAATAAAAATAATTTTAAATTAAAAAAAAACTTTTAAAATGCAAAAACAAACAAAGTTTTATAAAACTTAATTAAAAAAATATATATAAAAACTGCTTCATACATACTTCATTTCAAACTCAATTTTTTTTATAGATCCTATAACATAAAATGCAGCTTGGTACAATGTTTTTTTAATAAACTATATAACGTTAATATACATGAAAATGGAAGCTATTGGAGGTTGATAATTGATGTGATGTTAATCCACTCACCCAGTAATTCTGAACTTGCTTTCTGTCAACTTATTTAAATTAAATTTAAAAACTATAATATAAAAGTTAACCTAATAATTATAGATTGAATTCATGTTGCATTTGCTTAAACTATATATAAAAACAAAAAATGAAAATTTTAAATAATTTTTTCATCAATCATCAAAGTTTTAGTTGTTGACTTAACTGTCAATCACAAATGGAGACATAATTTTTCATAATTAAAGGAATGATATTTAACTACAATGGTTTTTTTTTTTTAAAATATATCTTTAATATACATGAAAATGGTTGACATTAAAGGTTGATAAATAATGTTAACTCACGTACATATTTTAAATCATTATTGTTAAATCACTTACATGATTAAACATATGCCACATAAATTTTAAATTTAATATTCATAAGTATAATAATTAAAAATTAGATAAACATGTACTTTGAAGATTAGCTTGTAAGGTGATTTTTTAAAATATATATTTGAAATGAAAACAACAAAATAAAAATAATATGTATAAAAAAGATAGAATATAGATGAAAAACACTTGAAATAAAAATCTTTAAATGTTGTAAATATTATCTTACAAGGAAGAGAAAAGGTAATTTTTTTATTAATCTATAGAAAATATCAATACATATATATAAAGCTAAATAACCTTATTATAATTTTTTCTTGTCTTGCATCATTAATGAACATAAAACACTATGTTGTAATCCTGGATATAACTCAATTGATCAGACCATGAATTTATTTCTTAGAAATTATTAATTTATTTCTTAGAAATTATTAATTCGAGTCTCACAAATCTCAAGGTCACTTATGATTTATATGATTATTAACTTTAAGTTTTATGAGATTAGTCAAAATAGACATAAATTGACTCGAATATCAATATTAATTAAAAAAAACCGATATATTGCACCTCTGATATAGTCTTAGCTTTAGAACCTTAAGTTAACACGCAGAACTATACCGAGCAAACACACTGTACGATATCAGTTCAAAGAGAAATACTATATATAAAACCAATCAATGACTCAATTTGATCACAAGTCAAGTTTGTCTATATTTATGGAATCTGCAATTTGCTTTCGAGATCAGCTATGACCTCAAAAGTTGGCAAAAATCTGTGAAACCCCTCCAGCAAATCAGGATAGTCTACAAACAGCTCAACCACATCTCTGTACACAACAGCCACGTCCTTGCACTTGTTTCTGTATACATATAAAGTCATCAAAAAGCCTTTGTAAGCCTCTTTGTTGATGCGCTTCTGCACCTTCCTTACAAAATCGACAGCTTCTTCTTTGCGGCCATTAATGCTTCTTAATTGATGCAATTCTGAGAAGGTTAGAAAGCCGAATAAAAGAACAAATTACCCTAATCATTATTATTATTATTATTATTGTATTAACCAGAGCACATTATTATATATATTTGTGCCCTATCAACTCTAATAAAGTCGGCCTCCTATAGTGGTTATTGCCCGTTAAGAAACCAACCACCTCTCAAGTCTCAACCCATGGCCCAAAGCATTTGAAGTCGTTATATTCAAATGCTTTTCAAACTAGGTCTCTGGATGTTTATTATAAGTTAAAATTCTAAGAAATAAGAATATTATAAATATAGAAATATTTTTAAAATATTTAATTTTGTTTTTCTTTATTTCTATTTTTCAAAAAGTTATTATAAATCTTTATATAGAAAATAAACTACAAAACCCTAATAATAATGAGGGGAAAAAAACTATAAAAGCATCATGATAATGAATAAGAAAATAAAATTAACAAAGTAAAATATTTATTTTCCTAAAAAAAGTTTCTCTATCAAATGTTTGTTTGTTTGTTTTTTGCAATTAGGTTGTCAACTATAGTTATTAAATCCAACGCTATCTCTACCCAATGGTTCGACTCTTAAAAGTCAAAATCCATGACTGGAGCAAAGTTTTGGTTTGATGTAATTTTGATATTCTCTAGCCAAATCCAAATAACTTTCAAATTAATATGCAACTCAATGCATATACTTATATTCAAAATCCAAATTAATGGGTCTTATCCTCTATTTATTGCTCCACATATAATATATATTTATTTTCAGTATACTACTCATATATTATTTCTCATTTTGCAAAATACTAGCCATTAACTTGAAATGTTAAGTCAAGATTTAACTAGTGTTATGTATTAGGGTATGCTTGATACGTGGGTAAAGGAGTTTTTCACCTCTTTTACTTGTGTTTATAACAATTTAAATGGTACGAAAAAATTAATCTAAAGAAGTTTTAAGATTTAATCTCGAAAGTGGAGTTAAATGGTAACTTTATGGAGGGTGGAAGGGGTAAAAAAAATGATTTATCAATGGGAGAGATGTGGAAGTAGCTAGGTTGGAAGGGCCAAAAAATGATAACGATAAGATTTCAGAAGCAGAAAATAATGTCAATTCTATTACGACATTAATTGTAATGGGTTTCTTTCATAAGCAAAATTTATGATTTTCGTGTTAGAAAAATAATATAAAAAAATAAGTTTGGTAAGAGTAACTCTGTATCAAATTTTAGACCTAGAGTGGATTATAATGATAAAAAAATATTGTATTATCCCGAAGAAGGCTATATTCAGTGTCACTGTGAGAAGGAGAAAGCCAATGTAGAAGAACTGAAACCAAGGAGCAAGAAGTCTAGAGATGCTGCGATTGTACAAATCATAAAGATGTTCTCATGGTTTACAAGGGCAATGAGGTTTTAAGAAATTCATGAATTTTAGATTCTGCGCTCTCTTTTCATATTTGTTTAAAGAAATAATGGTTTAATATTTATTAAAAAAACGATGGAAATTTTATCATACTACAATCTCGCTCGATCTATACCTGCAACGTTCTCAAATTTGAAGCAGATTGAGAGTTTGGATCTTTCTTACAACGACTTGAATGAATGATGTCATCTCTCGGCAACTTACTGAAATTACTATAATGGTAGTTTTTAGTGTAGCACAGAAAAACTTGTCAGGTAAGACTCTCAGGAAAAAGTATTAGTTTGGGACCTTTGATAAAAGCAGTTACGAAAGAAATCCTTTATTGTGTGGATCTTCATTGCGAAACAATTGTAATGAAAAAGAATCACCATGGCAGCCAATGGATAATGATGAACAAGAAGATGATGGTTTCATAAATAAACATGGAGTTTTTCTATATCAGTTTTGGTATATGTCCATCAGTTTATATTTACGACGCAGGTGGTTTTACTTCATTAAAAACTGCATAGATTCTTGCAATTATTTTGTGGTGGCTAGTTTTCGCAAGTTCTCCAACTACAGAAGATGAATTTGTTACTGGGGAAACGATTGTTTGTCCTGTATGTCTAGCTAGTTTATAGTGTACTGTCTCTAAGCTCAACCTTTTTATTTGATTAGTTATTTGGGCTAAAAATATAAGCTGGACTACTCATTTCTGATCCATTAGGAAGGGAACTGATTTGCATGATTACTCTTTCAACTCTCAAGACCTGTCTAAAAGTGACCTGCGTCTGCATTCAACTCTCATTCTCGCAACTTTGTTAAATTGCAATTGATTTTTTTTTTCGAGGAGAGAGGACTTGATTAAGTTGTCTAAAGGGAATGATAATACTGTAAATTGCCAAAATCACTACTAAGTACAAACAAGATATTCTATGCATGTGTGACAACACTTATATCTGCATTTGTTTCAAGGGCGACCCCACCTCAGCTATTCAATCAAAGCACTGAAATCGGAGCAAGAAGATCCACCTTCTTCAACAGCATTCCTGGTCTTTTCTTCTAGCTTCTTTGTTCTGCTCCTCATTTCCTCTGCTTCTCTACAGCATCACTTTTAACATGATCTCCATGCACTGCAAGCCATTCCCTAACTCGAACACCAACTCCAGTTTTTAAAACATCAGTCACCAACTTTTCATTATGGAATTGCTCAGCAAAACATAGTCACCATCCTCAATGAGTCACAAATGCACCTATTGCTTCATGATCAAGAATCAAAACT